AAAAAAAAAACTGTTCTGTTACACCAAATAGAAACACGAATGTTTCTAACAAATTAATATGAAGAGAGATGAGGTATGAAAATTCTATTGCTATGACCTTTAAACATGTCAAAGGTCAGAAACGGCTTTTCCGGTCGTATTTTAGTAAAAAGCAAATAGAAACATGAGTATTCCGAACAAATTGGAACTAAAATTAACTCTCTACCACCAGTCGTTGTTGAGATAATAAGGACTCAAAAACTAAACTCAAAGTTTAAAACATGACAAAGGCCAAACAGCATTTCCGGTCATTTAGCAAACTTTTTTTATTAGACCAAATAAAAACATTAATGTTGCGAACATATTGACACCACAATTAACTCTTTACCACCAGTGGTTAGGGAGATATAATGACCCTATTGCTATGAGCTTGAAACGTGTCAAAGGTTAGAAACAACATTTTCGGTCATTTTTTTTTTTTTTTTTTTTTGCAAACTCTGTTATTAGAGCAAATAGAAACATGAATGTTAAGGTGGACTACATCTATATGTTATAAAAAAAAAAACCCCTATAAATGTCCCGGATCTGCTTTGTTTTTTTTTTTTTGACAATTCTTTCTTTTTCTGTGGGGAATAATGTTAAATAATAGTTAGCTTTATTACACATGTTTCGGCGGGAACCTAACACTAACAGCACAACAATACTGGCGATAGACAAAAGATGACGAACAACACTGTTTATGAATAAAAACAAAGAGACCGAAACAACAGCACGTCCAGTGTTTGCGAAGGTCGAATGTGCAGACGGCTGAGCACACAGTTGATCCAATGGCCGTAACAAACTTTCAAATACTTTACAATTTAATTCCAATTATTCAAATATAGTACAATGATAATAATACTAGAAAACAAAATAAAACTCATTGAAGTATAACGTTCCATTCATAACTATTTTCTTTTACAAAATTCTTAAATATAATCCATGCATTTTTACAAACTGGCTTACCTAGCTCTGTTAGAATTTTAATTTTGTATATAGCAAATACTGCAATAGAATATATTTCATTTTTAATTCTGCCATCACAGCCTAGCGATAACTCTTTAAAAGAAGATTGACTATTGTCAAGTTTCTTAAATAGATTTTCTATCTTTTCCCATATCCTATTTTTTAGACATTAAAAAAAAAGTGCTTTTCATCTTCGACTGCTCCACACGTATCACATGTGTCAGTGTGTTTTAACTTCCATTTATACAATTGCCTATTTGTTGGGGAGATTTTGTTTAACAATTTATAATTTAGTTGTGCATATTTTCTATTTTTTTCTTCCTATATTTTTCTCATCCAGACCTTCGACCAGTTTATTTTTTCTCCAGTAAATAGATTCCATTTACTTTCAACATAGGGTGGGAAAAATATTTTATCAACAAAACATGAATAAATGTCTTTTGTTTTCACTTTACCTATACTATCATATTCATCAGTCATCACTAAATCGTCATTGCCAATACCATTGTAATGTCTTATGACGTACAACCACTCTTTTGGAATAGTTTGTATTAACGAGGCATATTCACTAAGCCAGTCTTTAAAAAAAAATTGATAAAACTCTACGGTTAAACCATCGCACCCGGGCGATTTGTGTAGTTTCATATTTTTTATTGCTACAACACATTCACTAATTGTCACAGCACCTTCACAAAGAGTTTGTTCTTCATCTGTCAAGCAGATTACGTTTAAGTTTTTAAGGTAAGCGTCTATATCAGTTAGGGGAATCACCTTATTTGAATATAGAAGTTTACTTCTTCTCTCAGGATTTTCTTTGGGTCTGACAACGCAACACCAACACTACACCACTTTAGTTTTTTATACTTTTATGTGTTTTTAAAATTCGTTGTTTTTCTCTAAGCTTAGAAAATATTATAGTACTACGTTCACCCTATTCTATCCACTTTACACGTGAACGTATATTTGCAACCTTTGTCTCCTTTTCATTAATCTTTTCTAATTTTGTTCTATTTTTCAATTTTTGTCTCAATGTTTCCGTTTACACCACTGACGTCATTTACGAGATCCTCATTCAATATTTTTATTTTATTTTCTAAAGTTTCCTTTCTTTTTTTATATGATTTGTTAATTTTTATTTACCCCACCATAATAAATCGGGGATAACATCACTCTCGTTCGCAACTGTATCAGTAATGATTTTTCTAACGAAGTTTTGATATTCAATATTATGCACTAGACTATTGTTGAATTTTCAATAACCAGTTCAATTTTTTAGATTCGTCAGACTCAATCTTTAAAGAAATCGCCTGATGATCAGTTAGGATTGCTGGTGAATGTCGCATGACACAACTTCATTAAAATCAAATAATTGTTTTGACACGAACCAGTAATCAAGCCGTCTATACACTATTTTTACTTTTTCTGCGCCAGGTAAACTGTATTTTGTCATTATTTATATTTCTCCTTTTTTCTATTTGATGTCTACTCCAACAATAATTATCAAAGTCAACAAATTCAGATATCTTATCATCTAATTCTCTAAAAATAACTGGCCTCTCATTTTACATTTATTTGGTACATAAACATTAATGATAACAAAAGACTTTCTCTTCATTTCAATTTTTACAATTACATATCACCCGTCTGTATCAATACGTTTATCAATTACGTTGTAATTAAATTTTTTTCTAAAAAGAATTGACACTCCAATTTCCAAGCCAATACCATTCATTAAAAAATGTAATTATTTAATAAATCTGGTGTAAGATGTGTTTAATGTAAAAGTAACAGATCTTATAGAAAATTTTATACAAAGTTATAGTATACAGTATTTAAAATTATAATTTATTATTATAATGCAAATGAATTATTTGCGAGTAGCCTACACATGTATAGGTATTGAAGAAATTTGGAATTACTTGTAGTAGCGTTTCAATGATGTTTGTCTTATCTATACCGGCTGCAAGGTTGGGACCAATGTTAGAAAAATAGTTATTAAAAATATTTGCGATTTCCTTATCATCCATTGAAATGTTATTGTTATTATTATTATTATTATTATTATTATTATTATTATTATTATTATTATTATTATTATTATTATTGAAAATAATTTAAGAAACTTGACTTTTCTTTTTCGACGGTATAATATTATGTCAATCGTTTTTACGCTATTTTGTGTCAACAAAAGGAAAACAAAAGCTAGAAATTGTATGTGTACTGAACTAAATGTGTCTTGTCATGGAACTAATAAACTTGTAAATTCAATTAGTGATAGATTCATAGCATAATGAATGATTCTGCCATCAGACTGGTAATTTCTGTAGGTTTAGAATAGATACAGTAGGCCTACAGGTAGGTTAATTTTAGTTTTATTTTACTTTTTACTTATTTTTTTACCTTGAATCTCATTTATTTACAATGGTTGTTTTTGTTATTGGGATATGAAAAAAAAAAATAATAAAAAAAATGTTAGGGAGACAGTTCGTAGTTTTCACTGTTCAACAATGGCGCTTAAAGCTTATTACTTATATTATTATAAATAATAACAAGACTGTCAAAAGAAAAAAAACAAAATTTGTATGGGCATTTTTGTATTAAAAAAATAATGTTTTGTGTTATATGGAATTCTTTATTAAAAAAGAATAATTTAATAGAAAGAAACCACTTCTCATAGGTACTAATCCCATGTCAGGGCGTAATAATCCCATGTCGGAGGTACCAGCTCCCTGTCGGGGAAGAGCTGGCGCCACCAACCTAATGCAAACGCTCGTACATACGGCGCTCGAGATTTGATTTTTTTCTTCGATGATCTTGCTGAAAATTCCCTGACAGGTGGGTCCAAGCGGCGGGTCCAGAGGTCCCCGACGGGGTGGTATGAGTACAATACGGGGATGATATGACTACAATATTTTTAAAATTTTGGTTATTTTCACATTTTTTCTTGGGTTTTATTTTTGCAGTTGCGGGCTCACCCTTTACTTTGGCCGGCGGTCAATCTGGTCGAGTCTGCCCGGGCCTAGCCTGACGAGGCCTAGCGTGGCAAGCCAATCAATCTGGCGAGTTTCAACGCATCCAGTAGGCCGGTGAGAATTTGAAACACCCCTACTTGGCAAGAGGTTGGTCCGCCCGAGACGGCTCAGCCTAGCCAAACGAGGGCATAGCATCATATAAACATCCTAAAATCTGCATCTTACTTACATCAATTATTCTCATTTTATGGATCGAAAATTTAAATGAAAAGGGGAATATTAAAATTATACTGCTCACTTTTGAAATTAATAAAACGGAGTTACACATACAGACAGAATCCGACAATCTTTACCCTTTACCCCCAATCTGTCATTCCAGACACCCTTGGAGTTTTGTCTCATTTTGAGTACAACATCTTGGACGAGATGTCAATAATGTAAAGCTCGATATTGTTGGCAAAATGTACTGATTACTGATGACAAGATATTCTCATATGGCTTTGGAGCGTTTATAGTCCAATCTTTAAATTTCTGTTTTTTAAATTGTGTGTTTTTTAAATTTATCTTGCTTTATTCTTATACCAGCGGTCATGTTATATGACTGCTCTCTGGTTGTACCTATTAAATCCAAATATGTGTTTGTTAATCATCACTTTATTCCATTTCAACATAAAGAGCATACATATCAAAAACGAAGAAAAAATCTCATTAAGAAGGAATCGAAAAATGAACAGATAAGCCCTAGACTTGTTCATTTAACAAGACATGCAATAGAGACAAATAGGGACATTTGCAAAAAAATATGATTGCAGGACATATAGAAAATGTATAAATATGAATGGGAGTTACTCGAAACTTAAGCCCACATACATAATTTTTTTGCTGATAATATTTTTAAGCTTACTGGTATTGAGTTACTGCCGTATATCGCAATTGACATGCCGCTCCGGTCGTAATTACAATGCTGTAAAATTGTATATTATATTCTCCTCTTTACGGATTATTCTAAGTAAGGATGTTAGACTCAATCTGCATAATACCTACCGAAGTGTTAGAATCGTAGGATTAAATGTGGTTATATTAGATTTAAGACCAGCATCTTCTGAAAATTGGTTAATTGGAGGTGCATTGCATCTAAAAGAAAATCAAATATGTGAATTATTATTACTACTTAGTATCTCCCAATACAAATCTATAAAGCTCTTTAGAATCATCGAGATTATTATGCTATAAAAGAAAAAAAAAGAATTATATCAATACTTGCAGGGTGTAAAAATATATAGTAAATATTATTAATTAAAACGTTTTAAAGAATAGAATAAATAATAAAATGAAATATATGAACAGTCTTAAATTAGCGTAGCTTATTAAAATAAAACCATATGATAATAAATATTATAAAAAAATTACAAGGTATTTGATAATAACGGTTACATTTTACCGAAAAAAATAAAAACAAAATGTTTTGCAGTATGAAATGAAACCAACCTAATAACAAAATCAGCCATGTCTATTTCATTGCCACATTTACTTCCACTTAAGATTCCACCATTTCCCACAATAGCACATCGTTTATTATTACCTTTGATAGGGGATATCTAGAAAAAATATACCCATGATTACCGTTTTCATATTCACATTTGTTTATATTACATTCATGTATTTGTGTCTCTGATATTCGGTTTTATTAATAATAGTAATGACTATACCTTTGGTAGCATGTTGTAAAACTTTTTACTTATTGTTACGGTTTTATTCTGGTTCATGTATCTTATATTTTCAGATAGTTTGACATCATTTTGGTTAAGAATCATTTCAGTATGAACTGACTTTGCAATCTCGTTTCTAATGAAATAAACATATTAACGTCAATTATACAATTTAATGCTTGTTTTCTAGATGATTTTACGACTGGCAATTCTAAAATACCTAAACGAATTAAAATGTAACAACACCCCTCTACCTTTGCTATTACTTCTCACCTCAAAAATCAAAACTTCGAAACAACCATACATGATGATTATTTTAAAGCTAATACTGAATCGGTAGACATGACAAACGTCTTCAAAAAACGTTTCATTGAATAAAAAACAAGAAAAAAAATTGAAAACAAAAAAAAAAATTGAACGCAGTGTGTACCTTAGTTTATACACATTCGATATGTTTAGTTTCCATGGTATCTGTAATGTATCTGCAATGTCTTTAATATTTTGTTCTTCTTCAGAGATACCCATAATATATTTCGTTTCTTTGTGCTTTCTGTTCTTTTCTTTAGATGAATTTATTAGTTTTGCCAATTCTTGGTGGGCTTGGATTTGAAGGGGGAATAAATCATTCCTTTCCAGAACACCTTTACACTTACAGGGAGTCAACGGTTGAACTTTCCACCTTGAAAATAAATAAATGATATGTACATATTAAGGACAAAATATAGATATGAACAGAATAAAACAAATATTTTAATATTCTGTGAATATCATAACCACTATAACACAGAAGCACTGAAACGAATTAAAGTTTTATGTAAACTATCGTAAATAATATATTATTTGCACTGAAATGAAATTTCAAGGACCGGTACATCCGGGCAACATCTGATTCTTCTACCGATTTTGTTTTTCTAACAAAGCCTGGTATTCAATTCTTTCTTCTTCAAATTTGCTTTCTAATGGCTGGAATTGATAAAGCTGATCCATTTCTTTGCTTCCTTTTTCATTTTTTCATATGTCGCGCTATACGATGTTTGTATTACATAACCAGGATGGCTGTGACTATTATACCTAGGCTATGTCATCAGCTCTACTCACAATTCAGTAAACATTTTAAGAAAGCGCTTATACTAATATTTTAAACCGTCATTTTAAATATTTATATGTAAACGGTACTTCAATAATCAGCAACTTATAAAGCATCATCTAAAATGATATACTCTAGTTCTTTTTAGCTACTCAATCATTTTCTAATGATATTTCCATATATTATATATATATATATATATATATATATATATATATATATTTGGTTTGGCTCTGTAATCATTAGTGGTAGTGGGACTGGTGCAGTATATGGCCGTTTGCTGTTTTATGGGTTTTTCCCATTTGCCTTTCAAACTTATATATTATTTAAGAATCTCTATTAAGATACACGGTAGAGATTGCATCTTTAGATCTCCGATTTTGTTCACAAATTCACGGACTAGTGCTGTCTCGTAAGAATTTTGAAGGACGCGTTAAGAAAGACAAAATATTCTCTGTATGTACTGAAACCGAGCCGCATAGCTTGTATTCCACTATTTACATTCACACCTGGGCTGTGCATATATATTGCTTTGGTTTGGCTCTGTAATCATCAGTGGTCGTGGGATTAGTTTGGGCCCTACCTAAGCTGGTCGAACGTTTCGTTTGGCTCTGTACCCTAGCTGCACTGATGGGGCCTCGAAGGCCGAAACGGATCCGTCTGCAGATATTGGAATTCCTTCCAGTGGATGCTTAGTTTATTTTGTCATTCTGATCGGATTTTCTCTACTGTTCCGTTTTAATTTTAAATTGTTTTGCATTATATGGCCGTTTGCTGTTTTATGGGTAATTCCCATTTGCCTTTCAAACATAGTATATTATTTAAGAATCTCTATTGAGATCCAGCGCCGCCATAGATGCACGGTAGAGATTGCAACTTTAGATCTCCGATCTTGTTCACAAATTCACGGACTAGTGCTGTCTCGTAAGAATTTTGTAGGACGCGTTAAGAATGACAAAATATTCTCTGGAACCGAGCCGCATAGCTTGTATTCCACTATTTGCATTCACACATGGGCTGTGTATATATATTGCCTTGGTTTGGCTCTGTAATCATTTAGTGGTCGTGGTACTAGTTAGGGCCCTACCTAACCTGGTCGAACGTTTCGTTTGGGTCTGTACCCTAGATTTACTGATGAGGCTTCGAAGGCCGGTTAGTTTATTTTGTCATTCTGATCGGATTTTCTCTACTCTGCCACAATAAACGAGAAACACAGCCAATCCCGTAAGCGTAATAATTTGGTATAACCCACCGTACAGCACGAGTGTTGCCACCAATGTCGGTAAAACTTTCCTCGAGGCTTTAGATCAAGCATTCCCACAAAATCACACATTACATAAATTGTTTAATCGAAACACTGTCAAAATTAGTTACAGTTGCACTGGAAGACAATTGATGGCCACAACAAAGCAACCATAAACAAGAAAACAAATCAGCAAACCAACAAAGGATGTAACTACAGGAAGCTCGAAGAATGCCCAATGTCTGGCCACTGCCTCAAAGAATGTGTTATCTACCAAACAACGGTTACAACTAATAACAAACCAAACCAAATATACGTAGGACTCACAGAAAACGCATTTAAGACAAGATACAATAACCACAAAGCCTCCTTCAGGAACAAATCTAAGTACATATGGGAACTAAAAGAAAAAATATGGACTTTAATAATAAATGGAACATTCTCAAACAAGCTTAACCATATAACCCATCATCCAAAAGATGCAACCTGTGCATATGGGAAAAATATTTTATAATTTGCAAACCGGAAATAGCTACACTAAATAAACGAAAACAAAAATGAACTCGTTTCAGCATGCAGGTATGCCAACAAATTTCTTCTAAGAAATTTTGTAACTTAATTTTATTTTAACCCCTCCTAGCATGCTAACATCTTTCCCATGTAATGTTGCTACTTAACTTATGTTTATCACTTTATTCCCTTTCATTGTTTATCAATCCTTAATCTGACCGAACTTATTGAACCCTTTGTATTACCGCTCTGGCTTTCTCCGCATGCTCAGCTTATCTCAATCAATTGTATTTCTATGTTTTTTAGTCATTAGGCAATTTTATCTGAAGAGTGTCACACCATGTGTGTGGTACGAAACTAAGTAGTATTAAATGTCTAATCAAAGCTATTGTTGAACCTCGCTTTATATATATATATATATATATATATATATATATATATCCACGAAAAAAGGGAAAGGGGGGCTGGCGCCACCCCTATTTCTTACTATTGATCTGCATTACGATTTCCGGAACTTTGTATACAACTTTACCATTATCCTAATTTGTAAGGCTGTTGTATTTATCGCATACAACTTAGTATTCTTATTCTCTAAATTTATCGTATAGTAGAGTCTTGTAAGTTGCTGAATGTTTAACATTGTTTAAACTCGCTGCTGGATTTTTGTGTTTTGCATCAGCAACCCCTCTCCCACCTAGGTTGATTTCACCTAAGAGTCGTACGATTTCTACGAGTTAAAACTCGTGGAAAGGACCTATACGAGCTTATTACGTGTTAGCTACGAGTGAGGTACGACTTTATGGAGTTGGTTACGAGTTATGTACGAATTATGCCGAGCAGAGCACCGAGTTACCTACGAGATTATTAAGAGCGTAACAAGTTTGTATCGAATTAGATACGAGTTAGGTACGAGCCAACTCGGTGCGCTCGTACTTACTCGTATTCGTTTTTGGGTGCTCGCATCAAACTCGTAGATGACAAAACCGCCGACGAGTATCCAGAGACGTGTACGAGCTAGGTAGGAGTACCCCGAGTACTCTTCGAGCTACCTACGAGTTCTTCCAGTTTCCTACGAGTTATCTACTCGTGGCGATAATTTTGAACATGTTCAAAATTAGCGCCACGAGTTCAGAGCTGCTACGAGTAGGTAAGAGTCCTCTCCGAGCTTTCCGAATCGTCCTACGAGTTTTTGCCGAGTTTGCCGAGTTAGCAACTCGGCATTCTCTTGTAACTCGTATGCTGAAAAAACCTAGTGGGAGAGGGGCTTTCACAGCAATCTAGCTGGATTACAAAGCAAACTGTACTAGTAGCTTATATAATCAATCTTATTTAAAGTACATTTTAAATGTATTTTGCGATTATTTTAAAACAAATAAATTAACACCTGTTTTTGCATCATGTATCAATCTTACTTGAGTAACAGTAGTTTTTTATGTGTCTAGCTTGTTGCCTGTCTAGAAACTATGAGACACCAAAATCATAGCTGTAAATTATTTAGTTCCAATTTTATGCACATTTTAGCTAAATTTGGTGGCCATTTTAAAAAATGGCCGCCATTTATATACAAAGTGAAAAATCAAGTGTCAACAAGGCTTAGGATATCTGGTTATGTTGACTGCTTCTAACATCCAACTTCCCAACTTGATTTCTAGGCCTCTTTTTTATATTTTTCCTGTTTTATTTGAATTAGCAGGAAGTGTACTAAAACTAAACTTCAAAATACAAAATGCAAGCAAGAGTTCCAAACAAATGGAAAGGACAATCCAAGTCAATTTATATATATGGCGAAAGAAATTGATTGCCTTCAGAGCATGTTAAGACGATTTGGCAGTGTTTTATTGATGTTTTTGTACTTAGATCTTGATGAAGAGCTTAAGACACGTTTTGTTCCATCCCAGCCTCCGACTATTTTTTTCATATATATAAATATATATA